TAGGTATATATGCTTAACAAGCTAATTGTGACAAGTAGTTATACTTGAAAATTTACTTCTGAAGTAACGAGTATTGGCTCGTGCAAATCCTCCCTTTTATATTTCGTTATTTTTTTGTTGTATCAAGTTTAAATATATAATTTATGGTTTTAAGTATTTCTTGGTATGATTATAAATTGACTAATTACAACAAGTAGATGATATACTTGATAATTTACTTGTAAAGTAACGATTCAATCTTTACATATCTTTGCAAAACTTAATTTACTTAACACTTGAAATTTTTCTTAGATACAATTTGCTTAATTAAAAGTTGGATACACACTGCACTATTTTAGGTATATATGATTAACAAGCTAATCGTGACAAGTAGTTATACTTGACAATTTACTTCTGAAGTAACGAGTATTGGCTCGTGCAAATCCTCCCTTTTATATTTCGTTATTTTTTTGTTGTATCAAGTTTAATTATATAATTTATGGTTTTAAGTATTTCTTGGTATGATTATAAATTGACAAATTACAACAAGTAGATGATATACTTGATAATTTACTTGTAAAGTAACGATTCAATCTTTACATATCTTAATTTACGTAACACTTAAAATTTTTCTTAGATACAATTTGCTTAATTAAAAGTTGGATACACACTGCACTATTTTAGGTANNNTTTATTCTAATTTAATCTAATTTAAATCTTTACATTTCATTGAAAAACTTCAATGTAAATACAAATATTTCTTTTCACATTTACCTTCACACGTAAATATAAAGGTGACAACACGACATTTTCTTTTATTAAAGATTTCTTGATATTCTTCCAAATTGCCTAATTGTCACAAGTATTTTTGACAATTTACTTGTGAAATAACGAGTAGTGTGTGTGTGTATTGTTTCATATCCTTATAGATTCATTACTTGTATAAGTACTCGTCAAGTAGCATTGCAAATTATTACTACACACTACACAATATTTGCTAAATCTTATTTTATTAAACATTTCATGATATTCTTCCAAATTGGCTAATGGTCACAAGTATTTTTGATAATTTACTTGTAAAATAACGAG